TTCAGGTTGGTCTTCATGGAGTTTGTTTCAGTTCTCGAAAGAATTGAACGGGCTCTACGTCTCTGCAAAGCAGTGAACGAGCTGAAAGATTGGGAATTAAAAGATGAAAAGAAGCATGGTCCACAGAGCTCATGACCAGAGGTCAGTATTTTAGGCAACAGGGTGGAAGAGCATTTAAATTTACTTGCAATATATACCTTCTTAGATTTATTATTGATAAATAAATTAAGGGCTGGTGTGATGGCTCACCAGATAAAAGCCCATGTTTCCAAGACTGATGACCAGGTTGGGTCACCAGCATCCATTAAAGAAAGGAAAGAGGGAATCACTCCACAAAGTTGTTCTCTGACCTCACACGTACACTGTGACATGTACACACACACACACACACACACACCATAAACACATGAAAATTTTATAACACTTAAAGTGAACGTTGTATTTTGCATGATTCCAAACTGAAACGTTTTTACAAATGCATCACACAAACTACCTCTCCAGTCCTTAGTGCCATCTTATAGGTGGTAGGTTATCTCTCAATAAGAATTTAAAAGAAAAATCTAACTAGTACACTAAATGCAACGGAAAGAAGTAAACAGTTCAAAGGAGCAAATCACACGTAAGCAAAACGCCGCCTTTAGACACGAGGCTGTGTCACCTGGCTGGATGTTTGGAGGTCTCAGTGACGACTGAGCATCAGGCCTTACCTGATGTGAATACTAAGGGTTGCTGCACATATATAAAGCTCAGTTCTGCTCAGCAATATGTTTAGTTTGTCAGCAAGGTTGTGTACACCCTTAGCCTCTATTGCTATGAACCATGGGTACGGCAGCAGAGAAATTCTCAGGAAGAAGATAGGTCACAGGCTACTTAAATCAAGACCCTAAGCTGGGGATAGGGGTACAGTTCTGTGGGAAAAAACACCCAATTAGCTTAGGAAAGGCCTTGGTTTCAACCCCCAGTGTATGAAAGAGAAACAGAGAGAGACCCTAGCACCCTGCTGGAGAAAACAGAATGAGCAGGGTTCTAAATGATCAGTACCACAACAGTGTATATGTATATCTGGGACAACTTCATATTATCCACCAATTATTTCCCAACTATTTGCAATGGGCACCAAGTGTGAAGGAAAATAAATATCCACTGGCTTCCATTTTCTTTGAAATTTGCTGCCTGCTTTCCCCTGGTAGGCAGTGCAAGTTTCGTGTCTATTGAATCAGGTGTCCTAGACTGGGATTCTATGGAACATTAGTTTTTTGATATATAGAAATGTTCCACCATCAAGTCAATTTAGGGAACAAAATATACTACCCTAGACTCCCTCTTGCCCTCAACATGTAGAGGGGTGCACATGCATGTACACACACACATACACACACACACACACACACACACACACACACAAATGCACAAGGCACCGAAATTCGTTCAGTAAAAATATTGACTCGTCTGATTTTTACCAAAATTACCTCAACATCATTGAAAAAAAATGCTTCTGGGGTTGAGGAGAGGCTCAGAGATAGTTCAGGTTAAAACCTGCTCTTTCAGAAGACCCAGGTTCGAGTCCCGCACCCACATGGCAACTCATAACCTTCTGTAGCTCAGATCTCAGAGACTCTCTTTTGACCTCTGCGGCTACAATACACTCACAGTGCATAGACATATGTACAAGCATAACATCCATATACACTCTTTTAAAATGCCCTGAAGGGATGTGGAGATGGCTCAGGAGATAAGAGATCCTATTACTCTTGCAAAGAACTCAGTTCAGCTCTGTGTATCCATGCCAGGTGGTTCACAACTTCCTGTAACTCCAGCTCCAAGGAATCTGTCACTGTGGACACTGTACCCATGTACACATCCTCACACACAGGCATACACATAATTAGAAACAAAGATAAACCTTTTTAAATGCCTTTTGGAATATATATAAAGATGCTCAGAGGAAAATACACTCCACTATCTGGATTTGGATCCTAAGTGTATTTGTGGGACATCCAGTTGTCCCTATTCCGATATATATGTTCGTGGGAGGCACCTGCATTTCTCACACCAAAGCTCTGGAAAAAAAAAAAAACAGAAAAAAGGACAGACTCAGAAATGAAACCTGAAGAGTAAACAAGATGACAGTAAACTTTAGTTTGAGGTTATCTGTAGCCTTGATGCCAATAGCAATATCTACTTGTCGTTTGCAAAGAACCTCTCTCTGGTTTCTATACTAGCCCTAGAGTGAGGGCAGATCCATGCCATATTCCCAGAGTGAATAGTACAAAGTACTAACTTCAGTCATAAAAGCAGCTGAGCCACCTAGTATAGCAGTTCCTCAGGACATATAAAAGTAACTGAAGCACACTCCAGGTCTCTCCTTTCCCCCCAGAGCAGCTCACCTCTCTCTGCACTCCCTGACAGAAGCGTGAATTGCCCTCTGCCATCCTGCTTTGCTTCTCACACAATCATAAACAGCAATTCTAAACTGCCAAATGCAGCCAGGCTCCCTGTTGTAACCTAGTGATTACAGAGAGAAAATAACATGTACTGGCCTCAAAGGCTTAAGGGGAAAATGCAGCTAGATCCACTAGCCAGCCCAAAGTGGAGTATCTAAATAACTACCCCTCCCTCCCAACCACAATGCCCTGGACATGGTGCACCCTCTACAGATGAGGACTAATCACAATGGCTCAAGAGAACCTGAGAGAAAGCAAATCACAACTAAGAAGGAAAAAGTAAATCAAGTTGCTATTAGTCCAGAGGTAGACATCTGATCTTCCTCTATCCTCAACCAAGTCGGTGTCCATTCACAGTGGAGAAAGCACTCATTGAATAAGTGGATGAGTGAATAAATGATCCTGCAGAGTGAATGGGTGAATGAAGATGCTTGCCCAGCATCTGAGGGTTGAACTCTAAAAATCACGTGGAAACTCCCCTGTCCTCACGAAGCAGATGAGCATACAGATGCCCCTTAGTCACCTCCTTCAGACACCAAAACCCTGACATACTTAGGTCTTTTCTGGAAAATTGTGTAAGCATTTGCACAAAACCTCTCCCTCATGTTACGCCATCCCAGATGCTTTGTGAGTGGTTGTTATTCCACAGGGTTTAGAAATGATAAAGAGGGCTGCGTGTGCTTGGTACAGGGTTCTCCCCAGCAGCTTTCCTATCTCTGATTAAAGATGTGGGAGTGGAGCACACAGACACCGAAGGACCCACCATATGAAACTCTCAACAATTTCTGAAACCTGCTGAGTTTGCTAGAAACATTCTTCCTCTCAACAGGCCTCCATTTTGTTGCACTACCTGGGCCCTGATTTAAAAAAAAAAAAAAATTCCATGAAGTTTCATATAGGAAGAGATATGGGGGAAGGAAGGAAGGAAAAAAGAAAAGAGAAGAAAAGGGATGAAAAGGGAAGGGAGGGGGAGGGAGGGAAGGGAGGCAAGATGACGACACAGTGGCACTGACTATGCATGTGTCTGTGCTATCTCATTTTAAGATAGGGGTCATAAAACCCTGACCCTCTGCACAGACCAGAAGAGCCCTGTGTTCCTGAATACTTCCTCCCATTTGTTCTGTCTTCTCGGTACACAGAGCCCAGTTTCTGAGTGAGCTGTAATTCCAAACAATAAACCAGTCTGTCTGGGTCCTGGAACGCACTCCTGTCACTCACTGGATGAAGCTACAGGATGAGTCATGAACACCGAGGCGCTCTTCGACTGTCTCAACATGCCTGGTGAAAGCTGGCATCGAGCTCCCAAGAAAATAAGAAAAGGTCAGGCCAAGAACTGTCCTATAGACCGTGATGAAGGACCAGCATGTGAACTCTCACTTGTCAATTCTCTCCCCTGCAGAGATGTACAGAGAGGGCACACATTCCTGCTTGTGAAGGCAGAGACTGACTTCGTACTCCTTGACCAATCCTACTGTCTTATGGGAATGACTAACTCAGAAAGGTTAACTGGAGAATGAGGAATTCAAGAGTGAGGTGTGCGTGTGCGTGTGCGTGTGTGTTTGTGTGTACACGTGTGCCTAATTCAATTACCATATAGTCTACTCAAGTCATGTAATTAGAACTTTGATTATAACATCAGATGGCCAAATGAGTTGTTTATATCTTGACTCAATAATTGAATCTACAGACTCCCTTTTACTGGTTTACTGGTTCTTTTCAACATGGATGAGTTGCAGAGCCGTGGTGGAAAGTCAACTACAGAGAACTACTAGAACAGAATCAGACCCATCTCTTCTTGGTTGTTTTAGATGTCTTGCCCCCATTGCTTTGTAGCTGGATTCCAGTGCTGGTGGATCCCAAGAATCACAATAGTTCAGAGTTGGAAGACATTTCCATCTCACTCACTATGTTAATGCTTTAATAATTATAATTATTAGTACTGGTGATATTTCTGCTCTATGAAGGAAGTTCACCAGAGTACTGCCTCTAAACATATAGCCAAAAATAATGACACCCAATGAATCAAAAGCCCGAGTCTCCTGCAATTGCTCTCTGAGTTCAGAGCACAGGCCTTCAAGCAGCCCACACTGACGGCTCAGACCGGAGCGATGCTTTAGGAAGAGTTTCCAGCAGTAACAGGAAAGAGTGTTTTCATTTAGCTCGCTGTAAAGACAATTTGGCAGGTTCACGAGAAGAAGAAAACAGAACGCTCAAACTTTGCATTCCATCTAAAGGAAGGGAATTGAAATTTATCTGGCATGAAGTCAATGCAGAGGCAGTAAGTTTGGTTGTCTGACAGGGCGTTTTATATTTTCACTCCGAGGAATGAGCAATTCTAGCCTGACAGACGACTCCACGAAGAAAAACAAATACCCAATAGACACTCCAACTTTGAGGTAGCCGAGTTCTAAAAAGCATTAAGGAGGAGACACTACAGAGTCAAGCACTCCAGGAAACACTAGCCCAATCCACATAGTCCTCCTGTTCTGGAGCAGGTGCAGAAGACAATTAGCTCCTTATTTTAGGAAAGGCTGATAGCATGGGCCATGTACTCACGCATCCAGGAAGTAGATCTAGCAGCCCAGAGACCGACAATCACCTGGCAGGAAAGTCAGCACTGAACTCCCTACCATGGTGCTTCACCATCACGTGTCCACGGCGAAACCCTACAGCCCCCTTCAGTGATAGCGGCCCGAATCCATCCTTTGAAAAGGAAGTCCCGAAGGCCCCGGTGAGAAGCAACTGCCAGTAATGAGAAGCCAACCTGGCCACTGCAAAGCAGCCCACAGCTTCAAGGATTGTGTAAGGCTGTGATTCACCCCACAGTGGGTCTGTCAAGCACGCCTAAGAGAAATTACAGGTTTCTCTTGTCTGAAGTGAATCCATTAAAGTGAGTCACTTGTTTGTCCTTCGGTTCTTCATCTTTATCTCAGATGATCACAGGAGAGTCTGTGTTGTATCTTCCCTGGTGTAATTAGAACAGGGGTGACAACATGCAAACTTATGCCACCATTGTTTATGGTTTTAAAGGGCTATTGTTGCATTTTACCTGTACCTACGAATTTGGAGAAAACCATACTGAGAAAGTGGCCAGAAAATTATGAGCTAGTCTCTCCCTTGGCGCCGGAGGGATTTGTGGCTTGCTCTTTCTTTTTTTTTAATTTATCTGTCTTCTTATTCATTTGTGTGCCTGGATGGCAAGGCACATGTGGAAGTCAAAGGATGACTTGCAAAAATCATGGGACCCTGGGATCAAACTCAAGTCATCAGGCTGGTCAGAGTGGCAAGAGCCTTTACCCAGAGAGTTCTCTTGCCGGCCCTATTTACTTATTCTGTTATTTCTTTTCTTTTTTTTCTTTTTTTTTTCTTTTTTTTTGGTTTTTCTGAGACAGGGTTTCTCTATGTAGCCCTGGTTGCCTGGAACTCACTCTGTAGACCAGGCTAGCCTCGAACTCTCGAACTCAGAAATCCACCTTCCTCTGCCTCCCAAGTGCTGGGATTAAAGGCGTGTGCCACCACCGCCCGGCTATTCTGTTATTTCTAAGGAATGAGATGAGAACTTCTTTTGCAGCCTCTCCATGCCAATCGGTAATGATGAACCAGAAAGTACATCTCCACCTGCAGAGGATTTCACCTGACCCAGCTTCAGTTTAAATGGATCTCCTCACCACCAGAGTGCCACATATTCTAATTCTGATGTCTCTTCTCTATAAGCCTTCTTCTTCCAAGCACTACTGTAATTCCCCACTTAGAAGTCATCGTGGGGCACGGTGGGAAGGTGGACAAGGAGAAATAAGCGAGAGGCAGTTGTTTTCCGTAACTTCCAGCAATGCAGGTCAAGGAAGCAACATTTGTAGAAATGGGTCAGTTCTATGTAGGTCACTCATTAAGTACTGGGTCATTTGGGACTTAGAGGGGCGGGGGAGTTGTTGGAGGGGAACAGGCTCAAGCAGTTGTGTAATCAAAGAGTTTTATTGGACATACATGTTTTCTGAACATATTCTATGTGTAAGTCATGTGGTTGCCCAATCAGCAGGCAGAAAGAACATTACAAAGTGGTTATCAAATGTAAAGCCAATCTGTTCCTAAAGACTCACAACCATAGCTGGGAAATAAAGAGAGAAAAACAAACAAACCAAAGAAACAGTAGAGCCCAGCAGCCACTAATGGAAAAAGAACGGCACAGTTTATAAATGTTCTCGGAAATTGTCTTGGGGGAGATCAGTCAGGGAGGACCTCCTCAGAGAAGGCAAAAAGTAAAGCCAGGCTTGGAAACACCACAGATTGAGTGGAGCCACATGGTAGGCACTCTTCCTCGAGAGTGGAACTATGCATTCTACTTGGCAACCCTAGATAACAGACACACTCCATGAGCCTCAGTAGGTTTTCCTTGCTCACAATCCTGTATACAGACAAAATGATGCTTCCTGGTTTTATTTAGAAGTCAATGAACTTCTTCCCATGAGGAGATCGTCGTTCAAACTGATGCCTGAGGCCAGAGTCATATGTTTACTTGTGTATGTGTGTATATCTGTATGTGCGTGTATTCACAGGCACTCTGATAAATTAACATTTTGATGAGCAATTTCCAAGTACTATTACAAATACTTCACTGTTTTTAAATTATCACAATAACCGTAGGAGGTAGACTAGCTTGTCCCTCGCTTACAAATGAGGAAACAAAATTCTAAAGAATTAAAGTGATTTTTCCTGACCGGAACAACATACTGCATGTGTCTCTATTGAGGGTCACACAAGTCACCTTAGGCTAGGCATGTCCACTGACATCTTTCAAAATGCCTGCCATGTAGATTCAGGGCTAGACTTCTTCAAGAGATTCCCCACCCCCACCCCCAGAATGCCAGAGTGGTTCCCTGAGCGTCCTCAGGCCTTTCTTGGTTAATGACAACCTCCTGCCCCACAGAGTTAGTGTGCCTGAGTTGAACACTTTCAAGCAAGACACATCTGCTCAACACATAATACAGAGAAAGATGATACCCCGCCCCCGTGCTCAAGAATTTTCATCCATACACAGAGCAATATTTAGTCTTCACACATGTACATTTTTCCACCCATTTAGCTACACGAGACCATCCACCTTGACTTCATTACACTGACCATAAACAAGTGATATTTCATGATGTTGCAATATTTGCACTGAGGAAAAGCCAGCACCGGTCTACAGCATCTTCTTTAGTTAATGAGATCAGGAGATATGTTGGAGTGTGGCTAACTAAACCACCTCTGACACATAAAAGAGATGCTCTGTCCCAACATAAGCAACCCCACTGGAAAGATAACTCTTTTCCCCAGCTAGGCTATCCTTTCCCATCTTCTAATTGGTCTTTTCTGTACCCTATCAGCCTTCCCTACTTAGAGGAAGTTTTCTTTTTGGTTTTGTTAACCATGATATGGGTTGACTGGGGAAATGGCTAAGTGGTAAGAGGTCTTGTTGTATAACCATGCAGACTTGACTTCAAGTCCCCCAAACCCATATAAAAATACAGGTACAGCCATGCTTGCCTGTAGCCTGTGGGTGGCAGCAGATACAGGATGATGACTGGAGCTGGCTAGCTGCCAGGCTAGCTCCAGGTTCAATGAAAGACCCTGTCTAAGAATAAGGCAGAGAGTAATGGAGCAGGACACCAGATGTCCACTCCTGAACGTCTAGGGTACACCCACACATATGTATAGATACCACCCACACATGAACAGCACATACATTCTCACACACACAGAGGAGAAAGAGACCTAGCTACTCACCCACAGAGTGAGCCTTCTTTCCCATTTGTGTCTTGGTTTGGTTTTAGTTATGATTTTTCCTGTTGGGGTGTGTGTGTGTGTGTGTGTGTGTGTGTGTGTGTGTGTGTGCGTGCATTCATACACAGTTTTGTTTGTTGTTTTGTTTTTATTTATTTTATGGCAGGGGCATTTGATTGCTTTATTAGACAAGATCTTACCCTTTAGCTCTGGCCCATCTACCACGAACCATGTAAACTAAACCAAGGTGGGCTCGAACTCACAGCAGTTCTCTGAGTCCCTGTATCCCAAGTGCGGGGATTCTAATGGTGCCCACCATGCCTAGCCTCTCACCTGTAATAGAACATCAATAATACTGGCTTCCATGGGATGGCTTGGACCATATGTCTGTGCCCCTTTGTCTTTAGCCCCTGCTTTTCTTCAGGGGCAGCTGCCTGTGTGCTTGCTTTGGGAAGGGCTTCTACCCTCCCTCCACCAGCATTGTTCTCTGTTGGATGACAGCTGCTTTGAATGTTGAACATGTTTACATACAGCTAGGAAAATAAACAGCACTGTACTTATATTTCCTCCCCCACATTCAGGTTTCAAAAGCCTCCCCTAACTGAAAATGTGAGCAGAAAGCCCCTCCGAGGCCCCGTGCTCTGGGAGACAAAGTAGAACAAGGAAAGCCAATTGAATTGGCTCAGGATGGCAGAGCTGTGGCTCACAGTTCCAGGCTTCTGTTTCATCTTAAACCAGGCATCATGTCCGACTCAAACACTCTATGGTTTTCACTTGGTTCTCTGTCAAAGAAGTTGTATCCAAGTCCAAGCCAGGCTGACCATCTAATCAATTGTCTTTGACCTTGAAAAAGTAGAAAATACTGGCAGACGGATACCTTCTATATGAGAACCAGTGGTGAGCTGCATCGAGTCAATGCAACAGTTGGTGACTCTTCTTCAGGGGCCTCCTGTAGAATCCCACACAGGGCATCCTAGGCCACCTTTGCTGGGATAAGCAGAGCTCTCGCCATGGAGATCACTGTGACCCAGCAGTGAAGATAGGGGCATCTGTGAGACCCTTTTGCTGTGACCCATATTTGTCTTCTTGTCCCTTGAGTATGCTTAGTGTGTCATATATAGATTTGCAGTCAGTGGGCAAGACATGATTAGAAACACAGAACAGCTTAGACAGAGGGGCCTTCGTGCTTTGCGCAGGTCTCCCCTGCCTCCATCGGTGCTGCAATACGGGAGGTTTCCTTTAAAGTACCCAGTGGCAAGGGGACAGGAATTAAGTGCATGCTTCCTTGGGCACTGCCGTTCCGGGAATGAGCAACCTTGTCAAGAACAGAAAAATCACAGCTTAAATATACAAGTTACAAGACACAGATGCTTCAGACTTACATGCTGAGTTTGCTCTGTAGAAACCCCTTTGGCAGAGCCCAGCTGCCAAGGTAGACAGTCTCTTCCCCATACGCTTCTGTGGAACACAGGAAATTGTCCTGTTCTGTTCCCTGCAAATACTGGGTTGTATTGCTTTGTTTAACATGATCTACTTCATTCTGGGGATGGGGTAAGACAAGATCTCAAGTAGCACAGATTAGCCTCAAACTTTTTGTGTAATTGATGATGACCTCCAACTCCTGATTTTTCTTGTATATGTGTTATACACTACTGGACCCATTTCTTTTGAAATATAACTCCTCTCAGGAAAGAGCCATTTCTTTATATGAGACCTCGGGCTCCTGTCAAGGCCACAAAGTCGGCTAGCCAGAGCCTGGGTGTGTGGAATAATGGGATGGGAAACTCGATTTACATACCACAGTGTGTCTCTCTGCATCTCTCTGTTCCTCGGCCCTCTGAGTGAGCCTTGGGATGTGTGTACATCATCCTTTCTGGATTATTCTGCTTTTCTCTGGGCTCCCTATAGACATCTGACCCTCTCTACATGTACCTCTCATCTCTGGGAGCTTTCCCACAGGTATAAGTGTCTCAATATGTTTGTCTCTGTCTTCTACCCTGTTTCAGAGCCTGCAA